AATACTTTGTTTACGCTTAAAGGCTTAAACCAATTCAGTAACCTATGCGGAACGGTAGATCTAAGTGTTAAGAGTGATTTTCTGTAAAATTTGAACTTTGGCCTGACACCGGGTACCTCATCGATTTGGCTGATTTTTGGAATGAAGTCTTGAAATGGTGTCCTGACTACTGAATGCATTTTCTAAGGTTTGAATTCTCTTTGTTTCAAAGTTAAGAAGTTAAGCCTGTAATTATATCCTACCTTTCGCTAGATTAATTTGCATATAGGGAAGGTACCAATACTTCCGAAGCTCTCATTGAAAGCCAACACATGTGGCTTAAATGGCTTGACACATTTTTGTAAAATGCATATTAAAATTTTGTTGAGTCGGCATCAGTATGAAAATTAAAGATTTAGAGAAAAAAAAAATTTAGAACTACTTACCTTAGGAGACGAATTTGCTTGTGGGCCTAAAATTAAAAATCATAGATTCAGTATGTTACTTCTCTTTATAGAACAGAATGAAGAGTGCATTTCAGACTTGTGACCAGCGGAGGGTGCATTTGATTGCTCTCGTTTTGGAATATATTTGTAACGAAATATCAGATTTTATTTACATGTAAAGTTTCTTTAATAAGGGTTTTTTCTTTATACAAAAGAACCACTGCATATTTTATAAGAATCGATGTTTTAAAAAGAATATCTTCAACCCAAGGTTGAGCCTTTTGAAAAGTATATAACTTGTGTGTCGAAAACCTGTAATTGCGATACAACTTAACCGGGTAAAAAGTACACCTTTCTCTAAAGGGCAAAACTAGCTAACAAAACGAAAAATACCTGGACTAGCTATAGCCAAATGTTGACTTCGATGAACAATACATGTAATACATATGAACAGTATACAGCACGAAGAAAAGGAATGAACTAAGCCGCAAAAAGTATCATTATAATATAAATTCTTTCTTTTTGAACAAAAATACGATACTATTCTCAGGGCTTAACCCTAAAATCAGTATTGGTAGTCAAAGCGGTTCCTCCCATTGTAGAGAATTAATTTTGTGTGAATCATAATGTTTCAACGTCATTTGGAGATGGAGATCAGTATTAACGTATCCTGCATGCTGGCACTGGTTGATCGTTGTACCCTGCTTATCTTGCTCTCAGATGAAGCGAACACTTTAAGGCGTCTACATACAGCAAGTGGGTGACCTTAGTCCCTATAAGCTTAGAAAGCCTACGCCCCTGAGTAACATTTAGTTTCCAGGTAACCGGGTTTTAAACATAAAGTGACGAGTCGCGGGCAAAGTGCCTTTCCCTCGGGCAGACCCTCACTGAATCTGATGGTCGAGGAACAGTCTGATTCCCCTGCTTTGTAGGAACTGCGATTCTGGTATTCCAGTTTGCACAGAGGTTCCGGATCGCCCTACAGAGCTAGCTGGGGAACCGGTGTAATTCCATAATCTCGTTTAGCCACTTGTGATCAAAGGATAGTCATAGGCCTTCTTAACATCCACTCAAGCCATGCTTAAGTTCCGATTACCTCAATGGCAATCCTGTATGACCATTTTATCAATCATTATTGTTATTACTTATATTATTTTCATTGTCATTATCAATATTGCCATTATCAGTATCACCATAATCATTATTATTATTATAAATTCTGCTTATAGTCTTACTTGCACTCTAAAGAATAAACGATCGTGACTTCAGATATATCGATGGTGTTGTCAGTTTTGTGCACTTCACATGTAATGGTCGTATTGTGACCCGTTGTTTTCTGTGGCAAGGTGCGTTTTATGCTCAAGGTGCTACTGGAAATGTTTACAACCTGAATCCCCTTGTCTTCCAGAAGCTGACTTTTATTTTTGAAACATTTCCTATCTTAGTTACAGTAACCGATGTCTCCGTCGGCTCCTTTTACTCTCCAATACATTTCCAAGTATTTGCTTGGGTCCTTTTTGATTGCATCACAATCCACTGTCTGAATATCACCTCTAATGGAATGCTCTGCCGTGTTATGGCAGAACCTGAAAAATATGTCATAAAAATGATGTGATATTAACTTGAAAGGGTCTCTAAGGTTTTTTTTTTTTTTTTTCAAATCACTATAGAATTTTACCATTAAAATTGATTATTCTTTACTGATGAGATATTAAACAGTCGGATCCCACCCTGAGATGAAAAGGATCAAAAAAAAAATAAATAAATAAATAAATAAATAAAAAATGCGGACATGGCAAAATTTAAAGTATTTATGCCGACGCCATTAAATGACGAGAGGGCGGTAAATACCATAACTTATTTGCGTCTGAACGTTCACGAGAGTTTCTCAGTAAGTAAGTCTCAGTATGTTTATGATAAATCAAGATAATTGTTAATCATTCTATATCGAGTAACCAATTCCTTTTACTGTTGTATAAGACTCAAACTTTTTTTCCTATTTCTGTTTTATTGTAAGTTTGACGAGGTTACCCTTTGGTATCTACCGTCAGTGAGTAGGATGGGCTCCTGAGTGAGTAAATTGTTGCTTTTACTTTGTTTCCTGTATTGTAAAAATGACTGCATCGATAACAAAAATGTCTGGTTTCTTGGAGGTCGCTATTACACTTTTCACAGTCCCCTTTGCCTAAGATGTCTAAGATTGTCAGGATCGAGCGCTCACCGGCGCGGTACGTGTGGCCATCTTGGTTTAATATATGTACAGAGTTGACGGGCGTCGAAATTTTAACGCAGCCGGGGAAGGGAGGCGAGAAAAATTTATTTTCAGTTATTTTACCGCGTTTCCTTCCAAACCGTTCCCCTCCCCCTAAGTTGATTTGAAACCCATCCAAGATGGCCGCCCGTAACACAATACGCAATGGTGGGCCTGGCCTGTGAACAGTCTAGCGACTACCACGATTCAGGAGCTCCTGATGGAGATGGTAGCTCCATTTGATGGCCTCCTGCATGATTACACTTTGTTGGAAATGCACCGGGAAAGGGAATTTCTAGGGAAAACGATACAGACATGAAGTTCCCGTTCAGTGATTAATTCATGCGATCGAAGAACATGTAAAACATCATTCCTACCTGATGTGTAATGAAGAAAATTTCCTGTTGGGAGAGCATAAAATAGCAATTTAACACTTTCACTTTCACAAGCAAACCAATACCGACATATAATAAATTAGACACATCATATTAATACGTAACTGTCAGTGTATACTCTAGTCTGCCTTCGCGAGTCTTCGACAGTTATCAGACTCTTATCATCTTTTAGACAACATAGCTCAGTAAAACAATTAACAACCGTCTGTTTCAGAGCGTACTTAATTGAAACTGCTGTAGACCGGCACTGGAAATGGCTCAACGATAATTAGTACTGACATTCCGTACATAACTTGTTCTCAGAAAACGGCAAAACGATACCTTTCATCTTACATACAAAAGTTTTGAACTATCAAACTTGTCAGTATTTTTTGCACAGAACTGCTACTATATAATAGTTATCGCTTTCACCCGGACACTAAAGGCCCCGCTAAAGTTGGATTCATGAGGCCCCCTCTATATGTAAAACCCTCCCAGATCAATCTGTTGTAGCTATATTTCATAAATTCATCTGATTTTTTGTAAATTCACAGAGAGTTAAAGACTGAATAACCTATAAGCTGTTTCGATGAAACCTTGAAAATATCATTCTAACGAAAGAAGGATCAACCTTAAATCGAAAGTACTTTCATATCCGTTTGCATGATCTTTGCCTGAGCCAAAAGATTCGCTGAAAGCTTGGTTTCAGTATGATTTCAGCGCATATTTACAGTTTCCGGCTTGAAAAGTTCAGATCGATGGTCAAGCGACCTTTTTTTTTTCTCTCTCTCTGAAAGGGAAGACGTATATCTCCTCTTATACTTTCAAGTTCTGCTTAGTGGGAGAGATATGGCTATGCCACATTACTAAAGGGGGTTTTTCCCTTTCAAGGCCTTTCAATATAGTTAATCAAAAATGGGCTTTTACTTAAGTGGTATAATTAATTTTGTCTCTAAACGGGAAAACTAGCAAGGACGCTCAAAAAAACTGCACTTTAACTAATGCCAAATCTTCAGTGCTAATCTGATAACAGCTCGTTGGACCGGTACCTTGATACTCTATGCAATGCATGTTAAAACGGAAATGACATAAGCTTCGGATCACTCACCCGTTAAGCTTCAATTTAAGGATAATAAAAGAATCTTTAAGCCTAAATTCAGCAAGAAAATAGGAATATTTAGCCTAGACCAGAAAAACAACATTATAAAATTATATCCTATCGAAAACCTCCGCGTCGGGTTTATTCTTATAATATTCTTAAAATTTTTCAAATTTCAGCCTCGATGCTGCTATAAAATATATTCTAACAACGCGAATTTACCGATAATTTAGGAACAAACATGTTTCTTGTTAGAGTGTGAAATTGGCCATATTTGTTTAAACCATGATTACGTTGCCAACAGTCAAACGTTCTATATTGACGTTCAATTTGCATTTAGTAATTAATAGCTTGACCAATTCCGTTGTACAGGCATAACTGAAGTTGTACAGAGATATGGGAGTGTACCCCTGGACAAATTGTCGTCTTAGGGAAGTTGTAGGTGAGCAGATTCCCAGGAACGTATAACAATCCACAATTCGCAGAGGCTTGTCGGGAAGGCCCCCCTATAACCGTAACTCACTTACCCTAATTCACACTTTGGCAATGTTCTTAAGTGAGGAAGAAATATACCTATTTCAGACCCAAAATGGAGTAAAAAGACCATATCCTTTGGCGCTTCACATTCCCGTTTAGCACTTATGCAGTCTAAAGGGACAAGAGGGGCATTTGTTCAGTTCTCCTCTAATTTAAGTATTTTACTTATTCAACCACACACACTTATTGATATAAAGAAAACCTTTACCATATCACTCACTACAGGATAAGATTTAGACAGTCCTGGTCCGTTAAATAACATTATGCATCCTAAACAGCAAACTTTGTCAATCGTTAAGTGAAAATATAATGTCAGTTATTCAATATCTGTTTTACTTGTTTTAGTTAAAAGACTGAAGCTAATAGGAATTACTATTTAAGGCTCACGCCTTAATTTCGTCGATATGAGCGGAACACGTTATTTAATCCAACTTAGTCTTATCCTTGATAAAAAAGGAAGCTTTTGCAAAAAAAAAAAAAAAAAGGGCGCGTGCACGGGTGCTGTCAACTTACCCCAGGTAAGTAGCAATAACCACAAAACTGAACTAGAGCTCATGTTGACCTTTTT